CCAGCCCCAGCCCCAGCCACGCACCCGCCCCACTCGCTATTAAAATTATTCGTCTTTCAAATTGGGGTTCACCAAATCTGTTCTCCAAATCAAGTCATTTAGTCACGTAACGATGAATTTGGTGTAACACGAAACAAGCTAAACTTCTTTCGTTACATGAGGGAACTCGGTAGAGATGCAATCATTTCGTAGGCGCAAACACGCTTGGCCCTCTTGGTTTCACCTGTTCTCCTCTCTGAAGCGGATGTGGCAAACAGGCGGAGGTCGTCGTTGGTGTTGAGTTCGGAAGGTGACGAAGTTTCTATTGTTTTTCTTTTCACAATTCTGTGCAGCCGGCCCAAACGACACTCGTGCCGTCAACCGGATATCGCTCGATGCGTGAAGCGTAAAGCAATACAAATGGAGGCAACGACACTAACCTTTTCTACTCTAGCTCCGTGGCCACAAAGGTGTGGAGTACAAAAAATGAAGAAGATATATCAAACTAGTGGTACCACAGAATGGCACAGACTTTCCCGTATTAGTTTTTCTATTTCGTTTGATGTCACCTAGCTACTTAGCCTTCTGTCGTGTATCGTCGCCCAAAGTACGTTCTACTTTCTTTTGAAATTTTATTACTTTTTCCTAAAAAAACATTTCTTGCATTTCTTGCATTTCTTGCACATTTCTTGCATTTGGTTTTGCAAGACCTCAATTTTATATTTCAATATTACGTCAGTATTTGCAATAATGCGCGAAAGTGCGTGCTGTTGTGGCGCCTGTAGTTGAAGTCTGCGTGTGTTTTGTGTGCGCAGGAGTTCACGTGCGAGCGCGCCAACAGCGCCACCTTCGGCCTGGCGCCCGAGTCGTGCGAGGGGCGCAGCAAGGGGCGGCGCCGCGACGCGGACGCGCGCGCGCCCGAGGGCTGCTTCGCCGGCTGCGTGGCGCCGGGCCGCGGCCTCCGCGTCGTCGCGCCGCCCGGCCGCCGCCCCACGCTGCGCCTCTGCGAGCCCGACCACCTGGTGAGCGCAGCACACCTCAGCTCCTCCTCCCCTGGCGCTCGCGTGCTGGAGCGAATGCTAGTCGCTCGCCTGCCGAACACCAGTGCACCAATCAGGAGCAAATGTCACGGGTTTACATTTGTTGTGTTGAATTTACATGCCCTCAACATGCCTGCGTCATTTGGGCTGTTCATTGCCCTAATGAAGCTAATAAAAATGTATTCGCTTTCTCATTTCCACAGCATCGAATTAAGACGAACATTTATTCAGTTTTTATTAAATTCTATTAATTTCTTTACAATATAAGTACGAGCTTTAGAGAAATATTGAGTTATTTTGAATATTTTATTCATCTGACCAACATTTATAAAATGCATATCTTGTTTCTAACATACCTATAATAACACTTGATTTCACTATTTTTCTCAAATTTTTCGATGTATTGTTGAAAATTGAAAATACTACAGAGAGCTAACAATGCAAATTATTCCTTAATTATGTGTGTTTTTGGAAATATTAAAAAAGACAAAGTACATAAAAATTCACGTTTGTTGATTTTATTTAACGTACCAATGAGAATATATTATATTTGTAAAGTGGTAATAGTAGGTGGTATGTGTGTATGCTTAATCATGTTATCAGTAGTGATTTCATTGATTCCAGGAATGTGGCAGAATGCGCACTCCTTTTGAATATGCTTCTACTATTTGCGGTGGATTGCGGGAAAGGGTTCAACGCCTTTCTGGTCTGGGAATGCAACTGTCAGCAGCAGCACGTAAGTTTCAAAGAATATTCTGTCGATTTAGATGAACATTGCTTGTATTCAATTGAAGTACGACTCTGAGTGCGTGGGAGGGTGCGGGGGAGGGAGGGGGAAGAGACTCGGCGGCGGCGCAGATGGAAAGGTGGGGGTGGGGGAGGGGAGTGGACTGTGGAGAGGCACGATTAGAGCTGGGGGAGGGGAGGCAAGTAAATTAAATGTCAATAGACTCCGGTTCTAGTGAACTTCTGGAGACCAATATTTTCTGTTCACTGTATCAGACGTTAACTCTACTGTGACCTTCCCTACTCTTCTATTCCCAAGCGATTGTTGATCTGACCCGGTTTCGAGAAAGAGAAAATCTGGACAGTGGCCACTATTTGTCATACTGCCCAAATGTTTACTGCATTTAAGGTGTTGCGTGTGCTCGCGCATCTACAGGCAACATCTAAAAAACTACATAATCTCAGTGTTTGGTCTCCAGGACTTGAGAATGAGAAACTGCAATTGATACCTGTGGCTCAAATTATTAAACATAACATTTTTTATATTCTGTGAAATACGCTACATTACCAAAAACAGAAAAATCATTTACAAAAACAAAAATGGTGCTTTCTTCTGTAAAAAAAGACAAAATAGCATATCTTGTGCATTAATATATCAACTCCCGAAATTAATAATTTACTTTCAATGTAAATATCCTCTAAATATTTCCTGTTTTTATTACTTTGTAAAAGTGTCAAAATAGTGGCTAAGATGAAAAACTTGAAATGTTAAAGAGTTCGGGGTAATGAAGCTAAGGAATCTGTTCAGAGTTTTGGCACTTGGCCACGCCGTCGAGCTGCCGCACCTACTCACTTCTTAGGAGTAAATGAACATTTTCTACTTTCTACTTTTATATTGCGGTGGCCTTCTCGTCCGAAGAGTTACTCCCGAAATTTCGTGTTAATTTCCAAGTCCATAAGACTCAGTCCACTTTCGTTGTCCTTGCAATATCAGATAAATCTTCGTCCAACAGGGAATTTAAATAACTTCTATTTTAGTTTTACAAATAGTTACATAGATACCACAAGAAAATCCGTAATAAATCCTATAAAGAATACTATATAGCGGAATGAAGACATAACTTTTCATTACCTTTCATAACGTGCGCATGGCATGCAATGCACTTTCAAATTTACTCTCAATTTAAATATATCAGTAGTATTTAATAATAATAATGATAATGATAATAATAAAGATAATGATAATAATGATAATAATAATAAAGATAATAATAATAATAATAATAATAATAATAATAATAATAATAATAATAGTAATAGTAATAGTAATAGTAATAGTAATAGTAATAATAGTAACTCTTTTGAGCAAAATGGAATGGATCCCCACTGGATGTGAAAGGATTCGCTGCGTTGATCACTTCAGTGTCGCTCTGTGCACCGCTGATCTACGAACACCTTGCTCGATGAGAGTTTTGGAAACAAATAATCTTCCTGTAAATGGCCCTCATCAGCGAGACGCTTTCTTGCTAAAATCTGATTCGTTTCCTAAATTTGGTCGAGACTACGACAACTTTTCGATCGTTTTACTGAGTTGGTGGGTTTTTGAAAAATCAGAATGAACTCTTCACTCACCCGAATGAGTTATGTCTCAAAATCCAATAATTAAAATATAATATACAGCTTTACAACTCTTATTAATTTTATTATTGTAGAATTAGAGCAACGTATTACATGCCGGGAGTTTAAAACTTCAACAACGTCGTGCTTTCTTCGCACTTCATTTTACATTCTCCACATCCATAAATATTTTAGTGCAGTCCTTCATCCTTCATTCTTCTGGACCAATGATGCAGCTTTGTATCATCTCACTCGTTTTCTTCTGTATTGAAAGTATCTTTCACCACATTAACAAAGTCCCAACTAGTTCGGATCTCAGTACTTCAAAATTTGCAGTCTTCATAGATAAAATCTTCAGGGGGGACAGAACACCCATTGATAAAATGAAGATATTATCTCAGTGGCATGCTTCTCCCAATACTTTTCATTCACCGTACATGTTACAAAATATTTTGAGACCATTAACTGCAAACCAACAGCATTATATGAATTCGCGTTACAGAGCAGATTTTCCCTCTGAAAGTTTTATTGACTGTGTTTACTGCAATCGTTTTTGAAATTTCTTATAACCGGATCTTCTAGTGCATATATTTGTAATTGGGATCAGTATTTCTGTTTACTACAACCGAGAGTTCGCTATATCGGATCCATAGTCGACTGCATAAACATACGTGTACTAACAAGCTTTACTGCTACAAGAGTTGGTCGAATTTAGACTTGTACCTATGAAATCACACTAACTCATTTAAAAAGGAAATGGGGGAATATGGCGGGGCCATGCACCCGCTGTTAAACCCACCTCCGTTGCATGTTAATCCGAACTTTGCAACGTTTGTGTTTCAGACGATCCCGATCGCCCGTGTCGAGTGGCTTGCCAAGACGCTGACCTCCAACGCAGGTTTTATTTAGTGAATGGGGAAACGGGTTGGTTCCCTCCGGGAACAGATTGTGGCCGTGGAGAACGACAAGCTTTTTGTGTGAATGGAATGTGTCTGGTAAATAATTTAACGAAATTCTATTAATTTCTTTGTAAGTTTGAGCGTTTATGGCACGTAAAAATTGTGCACAATATTTCCCAAATTTCTTGAAGGGTAGTAGTCTTCAATGGACAGCAGTAAACCTTCTGATGGTTTGTCTTAAAACAGAATAATCTTTTTAGACATGACACATATATTTAATGAATTATTTTTATTCTTTAATGAATTTTATTTGATCTGTTTTATATATGCTATGCTCAGGATTTTGGCCCTGATGGCTCTCTCCAGGCTGATGTAGAATTTATCATCCCGCTCTTAAACAGAACTCGAAGAGCAGCCTGGAACGATGTACGTGATCATGTACTTACTCGTGAAACTAAAGAACAAAGTAAGTATCAATTACTCCCCTTCGATTCACTAATAATATGACTCGGTAAAAATTCATTCTATATAAATATCTAGGGCGATCTAAGTATTCTTTTAATTTTGGGGCTATTCACATTCAGCCACCGATACTTTTTCAAAATTTTCTCAAAAACTCCAATTGTTTCTTTACATATCATCCAAGAACGAAATACAGTTCTGAAAATGGCTAATGTCCGATTTTCACTGAACTTTGTGCGATTAAAAATTGTGAAAGTTGTAAATTTTTTGGATCCTCTTATACATCTGCATTATTGATGATATCTTTTGTCTTCAAAAAAAGATTCTTCACCTTTACTTCTTTATTTAATGACATGTAATTTTTTAAAAATACCAGTAGTTTTTTTTCTTAATTTTGAGGGAAAATATTTTGACTATTTTAAAAAAAGATTTTCAATTTAGAAAAAAAGCATTGATAATGTTGTGTAGCCAGAGGCCATGTTTTGTGGTTCCTTGATACCGAAAAATGAAATGACGAGAACACGTCTATCCGTCTCTCTGTCCGTCTGTGAATAACGTAGCCGCTAAACCGTTCAGCGGATTTATCACAAATTGATATTCTCCAATCGATCAGGCTGATGTCGCGGCCTCTTGAATTTGAAACCGATGTTTTTATTTCGAGGGGTACTGTACATGAAGCTCCTGGAACATATTCCAAATTTTCAAAAAAATATTGCTCGATCGTTTTTGATTAAATTTTGTTGTTGGATAGTGTGATGGACGTTTAAGAGTATGGTGAAGATCTCTTTAGGTAGGTTTCTTTTGAAAAATTCCCAAAGGTATTCCTAAACGCGTTCTAGAGCATAAACAAAATTAAAAATTAAAAACCGAGGGCCTCGAAGAAACGTTTCGCACATCATAACCAACAATATGAGATCTTATTGAACATTCTATTACGTTTTTGCTCGACTGGCGCATCTCTCGATATTGACCCATTAGCTCAGAGACGAGAAAGACGTGTATGAGAGGGATAGAGAAAGAAACAGAGAGAGCTTTGTGTCTTTGATTTTTACCCAATCCTTTCATAATATGACATTATTATATGTCATGACAACTATTTTTTGTAAGAATACGAGCCCTGGTGGTAAATGTGAAATAGACACATGAAATGACATAGTTTAAACTAAGTGAGTGGACATTTAACGAAATACCAAAATTGATTCTCATATTGATTAAGGTATTTCATATGACAGCGCTGGCTTCATGTTCCATGACATTTCACCATATTAAAAAGGCCGTACGCAATTTCTAAATGTCCGATTATGCAGATGCTCGATTACCGCAAGCGCCTCATCAGCCCCCACACTTGGGTCCTCACGTGCGGTGCCGATCGCTGGTTGCGACGCGTCTTCGCAAATCCCTCCTCCCTATCTTGCGACTGCCGGGTACGGGAGCGCATCACTCCCAGGATCTTCCAGCAATTGCCTGTGCCACTTTCGGGCATGAGATGGGCTGTCTTGGTGAATGAGTGCTACTCGAAACTAGTTACATGTATCTCTCACGGCGTCATATAATTGATTTCACATTTCTCTCTGTGCTAATAGAGGCACTCACAGAGCCATATGTTATTGTGAACAGACATAAGCACAGCATTTCTTTCACGCGGTAAATTAAATTGTGCGATCCGATAACATATCTTAAAAAAAAAAAAACTAGTTGCTATGACTTTTGTCCCAAACCTCGTATATTGGTCTGATAGTCAATTGTGTGCAATCCGGGGTTGTAATTGAGGAAATGGATCCCTACCCCCAGAACGCAGATAGTGCGCCGCCATAGGCCTGCACCATGATTGGGGAGCGCGAAGATGTTCTTCAGTGGAAATGTCGTCAGGAGAGCGGAAGATGTCACGCGAGCCCCTGGTAGGCCTTTAGCGGCTGGGAAAAGGAACTACGAGAAAATCTGTCATTCTATTGCACCACTACTTTCGAATTGATATCTCATTCAGACATTTGGTTCTAATTTGGTTTAAATTGGCATAAGATTTACCATAAACATTTCATCTAATAAATAAGTACATGATTTGGAAGTCTGAATCAATTTGAAAACGAATAGGAATTGATATGTTTGGTGCCTTTCAATTGTAATTAATTTAATGAGAAATTTTCCATTTCAGGTTATGACAAGTCCAGTACATCACCTGTGGACTTACACAATGCAGTGTACTCAAACTTGTCTACTTTTGACTCTACTCAAGAGTGGGAAAATCATCAGTTCACTGAAGTCAGATGACAAGAAAAAGTGCGTGGAGTCATTTGCTATGAAGAGGACATGGAATGGATTTGTAATTTATAATTTTTGTGATGAAAAGCCAAAGTCATAGGAATACGGAGTCTACAATTGAGTCAGAATTGAAGTGGATTTTGAAAGAAAATTTCAAAAGTTACAATGCTAGACAATTGTGCATAACTGTGCTATTTATTATAAGAGAAATGTCATTATCAATTTGTTTTTAAACAACATGTCAACTTACTGCTAGGCAACATATCAAACAACCTTTCAAAAACTAGTGTTTATTGCAACTTCACAATGCTATAAAAGAAGTACAAAAAATACTTATGTGAATATTTTCTGAGTACATGTCGTTTTATTTTTGTCGCAATTTCAGGTCATTATCATTAACTGTCAAAAATAAATTTTTAAATTAAATTAAAATGTCTACTTGTTATTAAAGAGTGTCGGTGTTTAAAAGCACACTGCAACTTTCCAATTTGAGCACAACTCTATTTTGCACACTCTTCTATTTATATCATCTAGACTTGGACCTACTAGATATTTTAATATTCATTTCTTCATCCTCCAACTTTTGCCTCTTTTACTATCAAAAACCTTGGAAGTATCAAAGGAGCTGGAGTGATTATAGTTTCTCTCTTAAAATTGAAGAACGTTGTTGATGAAAATTATTACAGAGCAACAAGGAATAAGTTCTGTTATTTACGGAAGACATACTACACTTTATAAAGTTTTCAAGTTAAGGTGGGTGTATCCATATAAGTTTTGATCAGTGGAAGAAATGTTGATGATATTGAACGTCAGATAGATCGTCGCAAGAACTGACGCACAGAATACGAAAATTCAGTGGGTACTCGCAGCATGGGAATACGCGGACAAACACAATGAAAGATCTGCATTTTTCATACAAATCCGAAGCAACTTCATTGTTTTTGGAATTTTCCGAGTGTCTGGATATCAAAGGAAACAATAGACACCTCTCATGGCCTGAGGCTGCATAGTTTTCTTTCAATTTCTGCGTGAATTGGAAATTAGTAATACATATTCTTTACCACAGCTGATAAGGGAAGAAAAGTTGTTGCTATTAATAAACATGAGAGTATTCAAAACGCTTTTACAACTCGTATGATGGATGACACGCACGCCTACAAGAAACAATAGGAATCCTTTCAACAAGATGGCAAAAATTTAAAGAGCTCTTAATTAGATGTTAATCACATGATTATATTACCAGCATTCAATATACACTATGTGATCAAAAGTATCCGGACATGTGGCTGAAAATGACTTAACAGTTCGTGGCGTCCTCCATCGGTAATGCTGAAATTCAATAGGGTGTTGGCCCACCCTTAGCTTTGATGACAGCTTTCACTCTCGCAGGCATACTTTCAATCAGGTGCTGGAAGTATTCTTGGGAAATGGCAGCCCATTCTTCACGAAGTGCAGCACTGAGGAGAGGTATCGAGGTATGTCGGCGAGGCCTGCCACGAAGTCGGCGTTCCAAAAGAACCCAAAGATGTTTGGTAGGATTCAAGTCAAGACTGTGCGCATGCCAGACCATTGCAGGGATGTTATTGTTGTGTAACACTCCGCCACAGGCCGTGCAGTATGAACAGGTGCTCAATTCTGTTGAAAGATGCAATCTCCATCCTAGAATTGGTCTTCAACGGAGAGAACCAAGAAGGTGTTTAAAACATCAACGTAGGCCTGTGCAGTGATAGTGCCACACAAAACTACAAGGGGTGCAAGCCCCTTCCATGAAACACACGACCACACCATAACACCATTTTGGACACCAGAACATCTCATACAGTATATACGTTCACTAGCTTCGATACTAAGCAGGCGGAAGAGTTGTTGAACCAAGCCAATCACTTCATTAAGGATTCATTAAAATTTTTTGATTGACTTAATGACATTACTTTGCCACCAGAACACAAGTTTTCTTTGGATCATTATTTATTAGTATACCACACCAACATTTTTATTATTTAATTTTATTCCAACAATGTAAGTTGTTTGTAACATTTAGGAATTCTTATTGCCCAATTTATATTGGCAAATTTATAAATAAGACTATTTTTAAGTAGAATCGAGAATATCAAATATAGATACGGGCAACTCAAGACGATATTAATTCCCCTAGTATCCACGCTCGCTTTCTTCAGCCCTCATATCACTGAAGGCGAGAGGAGTGGGAGATTAGTTATTTCGGCGACAGGACTGTTTCGTCAAATCTCTATCTGGTTTTTTCGATGCAAAATAGTTTCTATATAACAGGGACATTTAGAATTGTTAGATTTTGGCAAACACCCCCTTTTAATTTGAATACCAAGTCATCTAATGCTGGTAAGGAAGTGAGGGTAGGTATTCCTGGGCTCAAGAAAATATGCGCATGTAATATCTCAATGGCATCTTTTAATGAATATGTATCTAATCTGTTCTTCCGCTTCTTAGAGCTAGTTTGCGGCCGACATCCGATTACTCTGTGCGTCCCGATGTAAGAGAGGGACAAACCACCATGCTCAAGGTGGGTTTAGAACCCGCGACCCTTCGGAGCGAAGCGCTGCGTCGGTACCCTTAGCCTCGTCGGCCATCCATAGCGGCGTGCCTACGCTCTACTAATATATAAAGACCAGAAGCGTATTTAGGGTATGGCACATGGCATGGGCGCCACTCACAAGGGGCGCTATTCGGCTTTCGACATTTACGAAAACAATGTTTTTCGTTATTTACTAGGCTGTCCGCCCTGAGGAAGGTCGCAGAATAGCGACCTAAACGTCGGCACCTTCGCCATGGACGCGGCGTCACCCGAACAGCCTAGTAAATACTGACTCCGGCCGCGGAAGCCTACGCTCTCAAGTTTTTCGTTGATTTTTTTTCAATTATGGAATTAAACAATGTAGAACAGATGAAATAAAATATTTTTTCTTTAAGCATTAAAGGGCTGTGGAGCGCTCGGCCTGTCAAAAATACGCCTACTTTGGTTCCATGAAGGGTGAAGGGTGAATCGACGAACAACAAAGCATGACTTAAAACAGATCTTAAAATTGAGGATGACTTTACCAAGTCTTACTTAAAACGTATTTGGTGAAACCGGCCGTTACTGTAATAAATGTCCGGGCAACGACGGATACTTCAGCTAGTGAAATTAATAAAATCCAAATTCCGTGTTAATATAGAGAGCCAATATAGACAGCCAATAGATAGCCAATATAAAGATAATATAGAGAGCCAATAACAAATTAAACAGTTTCATCGAACTAAGCAAAAGAGTAAGACAATATTTATGATTTACAAAATGTGATTTTCAAGATAGAATGTGCTCGGATGATTTACCGATCAACATAATGTTGGTACAACAATGGGTGGTGATAATTTATTCATTTTACGTCAGAAACAGTTTGAAATTGTGTGTGACGTGCTACAGAGAGAAGTGTACTTTGTGCACGCTTTCTTAATTCTGGGATTGTTACCCTATACCATATACAAGTTGGATTCTGAATACGAAATAAATGAGCGTTTTTGGCAAGAATTGTTAACAAAATATTCGCTATATGTAATAGAATATCTTTTCATAGGCATATCAGCTATCGATTTTGGTTCTTTTCCCTCATGACCTTCATGGAGGGTTTTGTCTTCTGTTTCGACATGAAAGAACGATAATCTGAATTACTACGAATATTTCCCACTGAACTCTAGAAGACGTGCACATGTAATGCAGTTACATTGATGTCCACAAGCAAAACAAGGGGCCATCTCAGCATTTGCTCAAGGGATCAGGGAAACTGAACGAAAAACCTGATCGAGAGGGGGTCATTGATCTCCATGGTCGAGATAGGGGAATCAGGATTAATGAGCACAAGAAAATTACGTTTTGCCTGGATATAAGAGTGCGGTTGTATCACTAAAGACGCCTATGAATTGTAAGATTCCAGATACTTGATGTTGACAATTAATATAAACGAATGATACATGAAATGATTCATGCTAACAACTAATTGTAAATTTATCATAGATTCCGACACAGAACTTACGACTCCCTGCTTAGTACGCTGTGTTGTGGTAGATTTAGTAAAATGCTTGGTTTTCTTCAACCCGTTAATTTTCTATGCCACCTGGTTTTCGTTTAAAATTAAGATTCTTTGCAAACTGAAGCAAGTATGGCTGACTACGATTTTGTTTTCGATTGTGTGCTGTTGCTCTAAAATTCAAGCAAGAATTGAGGTTAATCGTTGTGTGTCAAATTTCGCTTCGTTAACAGTGACACGGGTTATAATGTAAGTAAAGAATATATTAATACTTTAAGGTTAGATTAGATTAATTTATTTAATAGTTTATTGCAATTTTCATGCAGGTGATTTGTATGAAAAATATTACAATGACACATACTCCCACAAGTTTTACACACTATTGCTAAAGACAAGATCATTATTTGGTATTTCTAAAACATGATTCATTTTAATTTCAATATTTTAATGTTTTCACATATTTGACAAGAAAGTTTAATATTCGGCGAATTTAACCTCATTATATTTTTGAAATATTTAAATGATTTTTTTTTACGTACAAATGGCAATTTTCTTTGAAAAATTTGTTTAAAAAAGAACTGGCGTATAAGCGCTACTGTAAATTCGAAATTTGAAGCTCTTTCACAGAAAGTTTTCGAAACACTTCATTTGAAGTCATTTTAAATACTATAACTCACAAGTACAATAGTGTTTACAAAGAAGCTAGAAATGCGCATATCAAGGGCGGGAGACATCTCTCAAGAACTTTACATTTGTAATTTGTGTAAAAACAAACAATAACGAAATTACCTTTCATATGAGCGTCATATTAAAGAGTGCAATTATAACACTATCCGTTCAAAATTTTTGAAGAAAAAATTAAGAGCTGTTTTTGAGAAGATGTCGCTTAGTGTTTCAGAAAATGCGGAAGTTTGAGCTAGTTTTCACAGAAAACGGCTAGTTTTCGAGAAACTTTGTATCACATTATTTAAAGCACATGTGCACATTAATATAATAATGTAAACAAATTGCCACTAATATAAATATTAATGACGTGAGAGAAAAGTCAAAAAATTCCTTTTTGTAATTTTTGAAAAAACAAAAGACTAGAGAAATATGGCAGTAATGTTTAAAGAAAATATTGAGGACCGTTTTTTAGAAAATATTTTTGTGATTTTTTTAAATTGCACATATTGCGCGAAAATTACTATAATTAAAACAAAGTACCTGATCTTAATGAAAAAACTCACTATGGAGAACAACTTTTAATTAAAGAAAAAAGTTCTATCTTTAATTTTGTAATTGTAGGAAGACGCCCGAAAAATTTTGAAATTTTCGAAACAATATTGTATTTGTGAGTTAATGTGTTTCAAATTACTTCTAATCTATTTTATCAAAAACTCAAAAATACTCTGTGAAAAAGTGCTTCAAATTTCGAATTTACTGTAGCGCTTAAGCGCCGTTTTCTTTAAAAGTCTCCAAATTTTTTAAAAAATGCCATTTACGTCCAAGTTTTACTTTTCTTTAAATATATTTACAATATAATATTTACATTCTACTATTAGGAAACAGATAAATGAAGAAAATATCATAAATATGTACTTTGGGCGACGATATATGGGAACAGGCAAGAGTATGTGACATGTTCGAATATGTAGCCGAGACTGTAGGAAATAGAAAACTAATACGGGAAAGTCTGTGCCATGCTGTAGTACTAGTTTTGACTCTGCTTGGGAAAGCATTGTGGTTGTTATAACACTGCAGATAATCACTTTGCTCTTATTTAAATATGAAGTGAATTTTAATCCTTAATACTTACGTCAAAAATAGTTAAAAACGGTGTTTGGCGTACTATGGGGAGAAGTTAATTTGAAGTTACATTTATATCCAGAAACAAGCCAAGGGACCATCTTAGCAATTGTTTAAGGATCAGGGAAATTGGACGAAAACCTGATCGAGATCGTCATTGAAACAGAAGCTGAAGAACAATATTTATTACCGGTTTTTTAAAATTATACAATCCAAATGGTAAATAATACATTAAATGTCATTGTTAAAATTAATATTACTTTCCTTTTGAATGCTGGGTATAGTGGCTAATTGTATAGAAACAGTTGTGCAGCAGTAATGAGTTTACTTGGGACTTACTCTTAAAGTCTGGGAGCTGAAAAATGACATTTCCTCAGAATATTATGCCACATCTCAGGCGGGAAGGAACATTCGCGAAGTATACACAACGAACGGTATGGAGGCTGACTGAATTGGAAAGAATTCTGAAAGCGTAGCATTTTCTTTTGAGAGCATAGCAATTCTTTTCAAGCAAGTTCACATCAAAGCTCAAATTTTCATTAACAATAATTACTGTGTTCATGCATCAACGCGTAATAACTAATAACTCATCTTCATTTTTATCGTAAATTATATCACTTCTTACAATTGACTTCACTCTATCATAAAACAAGAAATGTAAAGAAGTTTTGTTTTTTTGAATAGTATGTACGCTCAAAAATACGCGAACAGAAAATCATAAAAGTATTTTTTTAAATTATGAGTAGGAATAAACCAATTAATAATTTTCTGTGATCGGTAAGATTACTGATTTGCAGAAGCTGTGAATTATTTCTTAAGCGTCAAAGAGTTGAAATGAAAAGTACATAAACCCTTCCAGGAGGTGAATTCTGAAATCGTTAAGTATCCCAAAATGATTTCTCATCAAAATAACATTCACGTAAGTTACCATTTTCATGACAGGGCAGTTGTTTGTGAAGACTTGTGTAGGGGTCTTATAGTTGTTTTGATAGATGTATTGTCTTGTTTCAGCGTATTTGAGGAATCTTCTATTTCATAAACTATTAAATTTAAAAATCACTTCACCAATTCGCACATACTTGTTACTTACCTTGTAGCTACTATATTGCTGCAACAACAATAAGAAAAATGTGATGTTCAAGTCAAACGTTGATTCAATGGATAAATTTACTAAGAAAATGTTCTGAAAGTACAGCACTATTTTTGATATATTTTCTTATAAACTCAATAATTCGAACATATTAATTTGTTTTTTTAGGTGTGAAGAATGCTTCATTTGTTACTTAACGTTTATTGACTAGAAAGTTTGGTTCTGCACATAATTTTTCTTCAAAAACATCTATAGAAAGTCGGAAATCTGTCGAGTCCAAAATGTTCGAAGTAAGCGCGCCGAAAAGTGAAAAGAGTAAAGATTCCAAAGAGCGGGAACGAGTGTGCAGGAACCAGAGATGCAAACATACCGCAAAACCTGACACACTTCAATCGAGCGCGTCCAGAAGTAGGAGTCCCGAGTTCGAAGGGGAAAAAATCAAAAGCACGAAAAGTAAGAAAAGGATCAGTGTAGCATCTAAAGAATCGGGAACAACTTTTGCACAGCCTCCAAACACAATCCAGAAACGGTCCCTCTTATGGAGGGAAGACGCGAGAGGAGTGAGGCCCGTACCCACGTCATCGACTGAACTGAATTTGAAATCGAAGGACGCTAAAAGGAAGGCGAGCCCTTTGAAGCAACACCTCGCGCCAAAGGAGAGCTCTAAAATGGGATATTCCGAGTCAGAGTTGTACAGTAGGTCCAAAAGTATCGATGAGGCCAAGTCGTCGGACTCGACTCTGTCCAGGCACAGTAGCAAGAAGCGAGTAATCAAATGCAAAAGGAAGGCAAAGAGCACGAAAATCGAGAGTGGGGAATCTGTTGGGCCTTGTGTAGTGGATACGTGTTATGACAAACGTGTCTGTAAGAAGAAAGAAAGGGCGTTTGCGGCTGACTACAACAGGGAAATAGCAGAACCGAGCAAGGCCCTCAAGCGAGACACCATGCGAATTTCAGAAGGCCCAAGAGAAACGGTTCCTTCCGACGCCGAGCTGTTCTCTCTTCCGATCGGGAAAACCAAGCCCGCTCTGTCCGCTGACTCCGCGCAAAGTGAGCGCAAAGCGGCCTCAGAGAAGCCAAAAGAGCTGCGTCCGAGGAGAAAAGAAGAAGCGACAGATGAGTCTTACGAGTCCGCAGAAGGAATAGTCACACCGAGAAAAGAAAAGTTGAAACGAACCTCACCTCTTGACAGGGCAGAAGGCAAGGCTTCGGGTACGAAGAACAAAAGCGATGAAAAGGTGCCAGAAACGCACAAGAAAGGAGTGAAAAGTCAGGAAGAAGATTATTATCTACATCCAAAGACCAGAAAAGAAGCTGATCAAAAGGGAGAGTATAAGGCGGTTAAACACTTTGGGAGCTATAGAAAAAGTACACGCCAATTGAAGCCATTTTCTAAAAGATCGTCATACGGTTCCAGGTTGCGTTCTAGAGTTAGTGCTGACTTGAATGTGCCGAAAGCATTTCCAGGTCATGTTTTTCTGACAAGATTGAATAAGGACAAAAAAGCGAAAGACAAATCGCCTGACCGACTGGGCGTCGATGCTAAGCTTCCTCTCGGGAGGCGCAGTCGGGACACAGACGCGTCAGAGGCAGAATATAAAGACACCAAAGACTCCGTAGGGTCCGTCAGAGGAAAGAAGAAAAGTTCGTCGATAAACGAATCAGGTTATACCGAAATACTGGCTTCTTTGGTGCCTGATGAAATAATTTATTTCCTTCACGAAACAAAATATAGAAAGTACGACGTCTGTCTCTTGTTCGGAGACGCGTCTGGTTTTACAGACCTCTGCGAAAGATACAGCAAAGCAGGAAAGGGAGGGCCGTCTCGGCTGACCGTCGTGCTGAACAGCTTCATAGGAACCATGGTGCAGGAGATTATGACTCACGGGGGAGACGTTCTGAAGTTCTCGGGGGACGCGTTCCTGGCGTGGTGGAGGACAGATGAAAATGTCACCGACCTGCAAGACTGCGTCACAGCTGCCATTGACACGGCAATGATCATTCAAAAAAGTTTTGGCAAATACGAAACTGATGTGCAGGTAAGTGAATACTCCTTATATTTTACCTTTATGAGAAACTTTTGGAGTTAGAATGGTGGGTTTCATTTACAAGATTCATAACGAATTCAAAAATATCTTAATAAATGGGAGCTTATTAATGGACATTTGGACCCAACGTAAGGTTTTCAAATTACAATACCTGCTTATGTTCTGTATCGGCGTTTAGAATCAAAACTCAACGACACAGTACGTTATCCGCCGAACTTTTCTGACTTTGCAACTGAAGGAGCAACATCCTTCTCGGAGTAATGGAGGTGTCTCTCTGCTCAATAGTTTGTTTTCCAAAAGTTTAGCCCTCGTTTTACAACAAAACATTTCACATTATTTCATTCGATGACAAAATAATTATCGATTTACCTGTTATGCGAATGCGTTAAAAACAATACACTTCTAAAGGTTTTAAAGAGTAATAATATTCAAATGCCTACTATAATAAATTTTAATGAGAAAGAGAACATAGTCGGAAAAGGAAAATAATTCAGACCAAGTATTATATACAATAAATGATTTGCGAAATCATGTTATTAAATCGCTGAACGCAGAAATTAAAAAAATATAGGAAGAGGCCTAACTACATTCACGGAGGCCCCGCTGGACAAAGTCAAATGAGGACCCTAACTACAATTGTTAAATGCGAAATCTGAAGTTTCGTACAGATACGTGACATTATAAATTAAGTTTCATTATTTAATCAGAGAATGTATCATCCACCATTTTGCTCATCAGATTTGGTCATCAAGATTCCAATCTCTGGGATTCTGAATTGTAGCTCGTGAAATTCATCCTTAAAGCATATAATATAGGACGGGCAATAGCGCTTTTTCATGCGAAAAACAAACGACACTAGAGACTGAATAGCATGATTTTTGCGTTTTACGTCGCTTAATTTGCCATCGAACATTTTGCGAATTCATATTACCTAATTTGGGCCTTGTAGCTGTATTTTCAAAATCATGCGAAATATTTCGTATGGCAATGATTTCGAATAGCCTCATTATCAAGCGTATTCGAGTTTTCTGAAGCATGTATTTGGAAACATTGGAAGTCAAACTTACCGTCTTCTTCCTTTAATAAACGTAGCTCAGGCAATTTCTCTTGTCAAGCATTTTACGTCTTCCACGAGATTCAAAATATCAATTTTATTGTGTACTTACGTGCAAGTGGCTGTGTTCTTCTCAGTTTACTATTAGTTTTTATTCGAGATCTATCTTTCTCTGTACAAACATATTTAAAGAGATTGTAAAATAAAATGTAGTCCGTGCAATAATAGTTATTTAGTATTGAGGTTATTATAAGTGTTTTCTTGAATTAGAACTGTATATTTATTTGTCACAGAGCAAATGACACTATAGAAAAAAGCCCATACGGGTCAGGAAGAAAAGTTAGCTATTGCGGATTATATGTATCAAATAAACCATGCCAAGTGGAAGATTCTCACCAATATTCATTGTAAAAGATTCCCCAAGAGTGTGGGGAACAGTTAGCTTCACATTTGAATGCCATCCCGAGTGCAAAGAACTTTAAGCATTGGCGTAAAAGATGGCATGAGGAATTCAGCAATGAAAAGCAAACAATTATTCATACGAAAGGAAGAGAACTGAATGTGGCCCTTCATTATATAAACCTAATTTCCGTGGATAAAAAAATTATTAACTAAACCCTCAAAATATGCAATTAAACTGGAATATGATATAACCTTAGAATCATGAGAAAAATGTATTTTTAACAGGGTGATTTTGATGGCGTGCATGCCTTGCCCGTATCAAGTATTTTCCTGATGGCGTTGCCTTCTTTCACTTCGGGTCGTCTTCAATTTTTCCTCAGCGAATAGCTTTTTTTAGTGGCTCAAAGGTATGGAAATCTGAGGAGGGTAAATACAGACCCTGTGATGGATGGGGAGGCACAGTCAATTTTGGGCAGTGCTTCTCTCGTTCCGATACTTGTTTGTAGGCGTACGTTTTGTGCAAGAGCAATCATTGCATACACTCTTTTAGGATTGAGCTTGGGGGAATTGTTGCTTTAGGGTATTCAGAGTGTTGATGGAATAATTTGCATTGATTACACTTCTATTGGGCATAATATTAACATGAATGATACCGTCAACCTGCCAAAGAGTGATCAGCAGGTCAGGACTCGCAGTGGATGGGTGCCCTGGGCGCGCTAATAATAGCGATCGCATTCTTTACTTTCTAAAGGTCTAATTCGTTTACCCAAACGACCAAGTGCACTCGTGGCGGCAACACAGGTGCCGTACACTGCACACAAGCGTTTGTGGATGTTCACAACAGTTTTCTTCTTCGCAACGAGAAACTCGATCACAGCTCGCTGTTGGTAACATACGTCGTCTACAGTCGCCATTTTAACACTTCGTTAAGGAACTGCCATCTGCACGAGAGACTGAAAACTTCGTACACAAACGCTGGAAATACGAAACTTTGAAGGGTTAACAAGCACAGCTGTCTACCTATTTTATTAATCTTCGATGACCACCTTCCTTCTCTTCACAAGAGAAAATATAAAGCTGTGCTCACCCGTTCAAGAATTGGCCTTTTTCAAGCTAACCCAACAGCATTTACTAACAAAAGAAATGAAAAAAAATTGTGGCCAATGCCAATCTGCCGTACTAACATTATTTTTATTATAATTCAACTACACAAATCATTTAAATCACATTAAAGTAGTATCTGATACGACCAGTTAATATATTATTTCATTCACAATTTTATAAGAACATTTAACCCTCGTCTCACTTTTAAAACTTAAAACTTAAGAACTAAAAATTAAAATATTGCACGCTCTAAAAGAAACCCCTTTTACATGGGGCTGTCAAAACAGAATTATGACTTATAAGTTGTGTAAATACCATACTTTCTTGTGGCTTCGACGTTTCCTTCTCCCACGCAGGTCACATTGAGAGTGAAGTTGGCCATTTCCGCCGGCCAAGTGGCGTTTTCTTCGATAGGAACCGAAGACACGAAACACTACGTGGTGTTGGGATCTCCTGTTTGGGATGTGAAGATAGCGGAATATCTCTGTGTAGCTGGAGACATCATGGTAGCTCCGAAAGCTTGGGGTTTGGTAAATGCGCAAGAATACGACTACGAAGTAATGCCCGATGGCCAACACGTCAAAGTAAGTAGTAATGTTAACTACAGGAATTCTTCTGTATTTTTTCTTATTCGATTTCCCAAATTTTGAATATTTCAATGGTAAATAGATAATGAAACTAATGTGTAACTAATAATGTTACATTTATGTTCAAACGTAATAAGGTCTCAAGGCACATTGAATCCAACAACTTCATAAGGAATGTGTCTCGTATCAAGCTGCAAAAAAGCAATTAGGGCTATGAAGAATCGAAAAGACTTATGGTATGTTTGAGGAATATTGTTAGAAAATTACATTTTATCACCCCAACAGTTTGGGAGGGTCCAGCAGTATTTGAGCAGTGGGTTGTTGGAGAGTACCTGTGGTTTGTGCCTATTCCACAGCATATCCCAGCTAATTAGATTCGAAGGATTAGCATGTGTGTAAGAGAACACGAACGCTGTGATGTATCTGAAATAGCAATGCATACTATTATAATACCAGGGGCTATCGTATAGAGAGATTCAGAAAATGTAGAATTCATTTAAGAAGTATAATTGAAACTGTGAATTATTACAAAACTGAATAATAATGAACGATTGAATTCTAATAAATTGTGATCTAATTTAACCTAAGAGATTGAATTGAGAACGAGGTGATTGCTAGTAATTGTTGGCATTACTTGACTGAAACAATGCCTTATGCAAGTAGAAAACAACGTGGGTATTATTGAATTGACAGTCAGGTTAATACACTATGATAGGACACGTATATACACTAAGAACATTGATAGAAAATAAAATTGAGTTGACATTGTTCAGACAAATTGGTAATGTACATTAAACGCACAGAGTGTCATGACATGCAGAACACACTGAAACAGAGGAACAAGAATACTTTGATGCAGGAGCTTATGACGGCGGTGGCCCCACGCGTCTGCAGTTTGAGAAGAGCGCGTTGAGCTGTGGCCGCTCGGGTAGCCTTTGAGGTCGCGCGCACTGGAAGGATTTCGAACGGCGTTGGCCACGGGGAACAGCGTGAAGATTCACATTATGGCTATGTAGATTTCAGCATTGCGTCGAGAAAGCAATCGCTGTGGCGAGTACGGTTTGTTATTAAGTAACAGTCACTACTATATTCACAATGGCATTAACAACTGTCCGCCAGCTCTTTTTCGTTCTTGGCTCTTGTACTTACATTGCCCGCCAGTTTGACTAGCCGCTGAGGGGCACGCACTCGAGCTACAGTTTTTCGCCTAGTCGCACTTCACTATCGTCCCGCCTGAAGTGGCACATGCGCAGTTGTTCCTTCCCCGGCTCCTGGGGTGGCGTCGCTGTGGTCGATGGCGTGCTGCAGGGCGGAGTCGTTTCGTCGGCGCCGCAGTAGGGGGGGGGGGCTAGGCTGTGTGGAGGCGCGTGCCCGCCATTCAAATCGCAGCAGCGGACGCAATGAGTCTCAGCGACAAAGCGTTCACTAATTTTCGCTTTTCCGTATACATACGTATATACGGAGTATTATACGTGGTATAGGAACAGTTATGTTATGCTTCGCGGAAATGTAATTAGCGCGCGGAGATGCTCTAATGGTTAGCGTATCGGACTGTTATACCCCAAGTTGGCGGGTTCAAGCCCGATCGATGACGTGGGATTTTTAAGGGCGAAAAAACCCTTCGTACGCCTTCCTTGGGAGGGTAAATAAAGCCGGCTGCCCCTAGTTACTAGATTTACTTGCATGTGAAAGATCCTCAAGCCTAAATGACACCTCTGAGCTGAATTCAAATCGCCTATTTGGTCGCCCAAGAAATACCTCCTTCCTCCGCTGGATAGTGAAAGGAGCGTAGCGAAATTTGCGTGATGAGACGGTAGAAAGGGTCTGATGGCACGAGTCTCGCCACGTTAAATAAGGCATTAATTTAATTTAATTTATTACAAGATTTCTACGCAAATACACGTTTCGGTGTCCCCTGAAACCGAGAAAGATCTTTTTTCAAGACTTTCGTCTGACTGTCCGTCTGTGAACATCTCTAGCGCCGAAAATATGCGTAGGATTTTCTCCAAAATGAAAAAGAAATGTTCATCTACTCGAGTCAAGGCTTTGAGATTTTGAAAATATTTCTTTAAAATTTGGGGTTACTTTATATGAAGACTTTGGGACATTTTCAAAATTTTCTCAAAAACGCACTTTACATTTTTTCTTTAGATTTCTTGTAAGAAGACAGTAAAATACACGTATAAAGATGTCATAGGCCCCATTTTCACTGTTAACTCTGAATTTTGCAAAATTTCTCGCTCGCAAAAATTTTTAGCTCTTTCATTAAGTTTACGTACATTTTTTAAAAATGTTAATAATTTTCGCCCAATACTGCGAGCAAAATGTGAGAATAAAATTAGAAAAACAAGATTTTCGCAAAAATAAATCCAAAGTTTTTCTTAAACTTTTGGTAATGATAGAGCTAAATGAACTTTATAAAATGACATAAATGCTATATTGCTTTATTATTTTGTTTAAGAAATACAAAAATGTAATTTTTTTAACTTGTTTCTCACGTTGTTAATATTTACATTAGCGGCAATTTCTTTACATCAATGTATTTATAAGTGCATGCGCTTTAAATGCTGTCAGATAAAGTTTCCCGAAAGCTCAATAGTTTTCCGTGAAAATGAGCTCAAAATTCCACATTTTCAGAAACAAACACCATTTTCTCCAAAACCGCTCCAAATCCGGTCTTCCAACTTTTCGAAGGGATACTTCTAAATACACTGTTTAATACGACGTAAAGTTCATTTTGGGGTATATTTTGTTTTTTCTAAAATTGTACAAATATAATTTTTTGGAAGATTTATCACGCCGTTAATATGCACATTGCCAACAATTTGTAAACACTATTGTATTTCTGAGTTAATGTGCGTTAAATGACTTCTAATAAAGTGTCGAAAATCCTGCCACCGTTGGGAGTTGAAACAATGACCTGTCTTGATCAATAAATAGAGATATTGTCAGGTATCAATATTTTAATTCCACTAATGATCATTTCGATCGCGTAGCGATCATCCTCAGAGCTTGCAGCTTCTGGGCCGAAAACAAAGTTCTGCAGAATTTTGCAGAACTTTGTTTTCGGCCCAGAAGCTGCAAGCTCTGAGGATGATCGCTACGCGATCGAAATGATCATTAGTGGAATTAAAATATTGATACCTGACAATATCTCTATTTATTGATCAAAATAAAAAAAAGGTATCTACTTCACCAACAATCCAATTAATGACCTGTCTATTAGAGGCACACGTTAATGCCTTGTGTCACTGCCAGTGCCAGTGCACAAATGATTAGTTGATGCCTTGTGCCAGTTTAAGTTTTTCATTTTTATAGCTACAATGACCAGGGCAATAGCAGCGATCTCTAAACCTCAATTAATCTATCAAACCTGTGTTAGGCAGGGGTAAATGTTGGTTTGATAAACATGGCGTAGTCTGGTGCCGGGCCGTTCAGCTGAAAATATCAGCAAAAAAACACCTCTACTTCCAGTTTCTACAACAATAACGAAGCAATGAGGACAAACCGTGGAAGCAGGCAGTTAAGTCGTGTGAAAGAAAGTTGCGCATTACCGGGCCAGAAAGTCTCTTTATACCTAGGGAGATATATCTCCCTTCCATCAGGGTATTGCACTAACCGCGACAAGCTGTAAGCTTGCGGCTGGTGTGGTATTGTCGTTCGTGTTCAGAAATATAGCTGATGGGGGGAACGTACAAAGACGAGGAAGGACTATCACGCACGATCTGTAGCCTGTTTGTTAGGGCTCGCCGCGGGATTTTGCTTGTCTTTGCTTGTAGAAATCTCGGAAAATTACTGACGATAGTCAGGTAGCGCCAGCGCCTAGAATTCTCACCCAGACAGCGGCGACCCGGCTGTTTCAGCTGAACCAGTGTTACAAATTCGCACCGTTGGCTGCTAGAGCCTTAGAACCTTCTGGTTAGAGATTGCAACGGCACAGTATCTACCCTGAGGCGTGATTCAGATATGTTGAACGTTCTACTGCAGTCCCTTGTTTTGATTTCGGACTTAAAAGTAACTTCAGTGCCCGTGTAAGTTCATTATCTGTGGTTTCTAGAATTTAGAAGAAAGTTCAGTTATTGAGGTTGTCCTATTCTATGTTCTTTCGGCAGCCTGTCCATTCATTTAGGAAGAGTACGTTGAAAGACAATAGCCAAAACCTGCTAATATTTTTAACCCACAGGACCGAGTGTCTCATCATCACTCGCCGGCGACGCCCGTTTGCCTCTGCATTCCGCATTGGGAGAGGGTGAGGGTGAGGGCGAGGGTGCTGTGTGCGCAGGTGCTGGGCGCGGGCGCGGGCTGGCGCCAGATGCAGGGCTACAGCGGCGGGCCCGACTCCACCGCCGAGGTGCCCGACGAGGACTGGGAGGCGGGCGGGCGCGGGCTCGGCAGCATCCTCTTCATGGTGGGCGGCGAGGAGGACGACCGCAGCGACGCCAGCGACACCAGCTTCATCGACGAGGACGGCCGCCTGCAGGCCGTCGGCTCCCAGGTGCGACACGTACTTTCTTTATTTTCCCTTTCTCGCACTTACGAACGTAAGAAGTTATTACTGGGTCCTGGTAAGGGGAAACTGGATAAATCCAGTTGCTAAATATATATATTTTTTATTTATAACAAAAAATTTACAATCTATTTTTTTAACAAAATAATAAGTAAATACGATGTTGTAGAATTATTCTGACATTGATTGATTTCCAGTGAAGGTATC